TTCTCAAAGCTGTAAATCTTCGACATCTTAACCACCAGCAGATCGTCAGACATGTAAGCACAAAGTATTCTTGCATGCCGTGGGTTCACAAGGGAAAGAAGGAGGAGTGGAAATTTCTGCTCATTTGGAAAGGCTGGTGCCTTCTCACCAACTACTTCATCAAGCTCTTCTAGATCCATTCGAGACAGCTTCTTCATCTCCTCTTCGCTTCCTACCTCAGGCTGTATGGCACGATCATGCATAACAGAAACAATCACTGCAAGCTCCCCATACAAAATGGAGCCCTCTCTAGCTTGTGCTGGCTGGGAAGCAGTCAACATAATGTGGGGGAGTGCTGATTTGATTCGCCTATCCGGCTCAAGGCAAAGATCGATCTTCCAAGCATCTTCGAAATTGGGGAAAAACCCATACGCTCGGGCGGACAACACGAAAGGATGAGGGTGACTGGAGATTTGAATGTATCAGTGATTGGACAAGAATGGTGGTCTCTTAAGATTTAGCTGACATGTATTGTACTCACCTTATGTGCCGCACTTTATACAAGTCCGGTAAGCTCGAGTACACACGGCCGAGTCGAGTGGCAAGAGCCAACTCACCGAAGAAGTGGCACAATTCATCGGACCAATCAGCCTGATCAGCCACCACCAACCCGTATCTTTCTGCCTCCCTTCTCCGAATCGATTGGTTGTAGTCGGGGAAGAGAAGCTCGATTAGAGGAAGGGAGTCGTGCGGCAATAAATGAGACTGTTGGATGAACGGCACCGGTGTTACTGGAGAGCCCGTAAGGTTCGCTTCGATATCCCAAGAAGAGATAGAGATTTTATGTTCATGAAGGAACGATGGCAAAACATCTCCCTCTGAACCAGGCTCATTTGAGACAAAAGACACACTCTTAGGGCCCTCGACTTCTCCAGTAACAATGTGGTATAGCGAGATGACTCGCTCACGAACAACGTTTTCAGTCATCTTAGAAAAGAAATCTGAAAGAATAGAGATGATACTGAACCAAAGGAGTAAGCAACTTGACGACTTACTGTAGTAGTAAGTTGTGGGTTGTAGATGCGCGAAGTGTGGTGGACTGAGGAAGGCAAAGAGAAGAGGAACACAAAGCAAGGCTACAATCATGTGACAGAGTATTCAATGACAAAAAATGACCTAACCTTCTTCAAATCCACTCACTACCCAAAAGTCGATAAGTGAATATCAGCTTCTCTGGACAATCCTAGGGTCCATTACCGAGGGAGTCAAACGATGTAGATGAATATTCACCCCCCGGCCTCCTGCAGAGGGCTATCTAACAAGTTTCTCTTTTTCTTCGCGCCACTTGAAGCGGTTGTATAGCTTTTACATGGAAAGTTTTCAAGTAGTCGCATGTCTTAACAAAGTGACTGTGGATAGGACGTCTGAATATACCCCTTAATAACTTCAGCTGATTCGCAAGACGAGCGTATCAATATTGCCCTTGATATCTTCCTGCCAAGCGTAGCCCAGGCCCCTGCAGAATTCTGGAACGCGGCCTACCCGCCAATTCCAATGCCATCAGGGGCTATCCATCGCTTCTGATAGTTAAGCGACCGTGACTCACATGCGACTATCAACCAATTCAAAAAGGGCGGCAGGGACTGCTAGCCATGAAGACTAGTATCGATACTGTAAAATGATGACGATGCTAGTTACCTCATCCAGCCGGAAAAGTCGAGGCCCCATTTAGAGCTAAAGTTGGTCTTCGGGGGAGTATTCCGATCTTGTGAAGGCCAGACCCGGGGTATCGCCAATAGGCCATGTTCTCCTTCACATGGTCTAGAAGCTATATTCAGCTGAAACTTACAACCTCATACCTTCATAGAGTTCTACACCACCATTCACTCTTACTGCCGTTGGTAGGATGGAGAGACACTGGTTCGAAGACGCTCAAGATGTCACAAAGTCCCTCGAATGCTTGACGAATTTTATCCGTTCAGTGGTGGTCCTTAAAGGCAGCTTGATACACCAAGTCATACTATTCATGAGCCAAGCATTTTTACACCGTCCTTCATCGGGGGACCAATGAGCCAGATAAACACACAGTGTGGCCATTCGTTCAGGACGCAGGTCCTATATCCTCACTGGCGTGAAGGCCGAGCCTTGCAAGATATGCATGTCCTTAGCGTCGAAAAGAAGAGACGGAGAAGGAGGAGGAAAGAGAAAAGAGAAAAGGGAAGGAAAAAGGTACGAATCTGCTCCTCGACCTCGCAGACCAGTTTAATGAATTATACCATCTGGTCTGCAGTGCTATGGCAGTCTCTGTTCTGAATCTTGTTCAATTCATTGGATCAAGCAAATGAGGCAGTTGACCCTGAGAGGCTTATGGCAGGTTGTTCAATCCATTTGAATATTGCATGCTGGAACGGGAGTACTGATCATGGACAACGCTTGAGACCAATCTGGGATCCAAGAGGGGACGACGAATATACTATTTACCCTTAAATCACCTAACTCAAGGGAATCCATCGAGGTGCAAACTTGGTAAGGTATACAGTCAGGTCGGTATATATAGTTTTAACAGAAAATAATGTATTCAAGGTTGTCTACTCTGGGATATCGAGCTGGAACCGAGATAAATTAAGTAAACACGATCTGTAAGCTTGTACCAATTCTCCTCTCAACACGAAGCATGCCATATAAAGGAGCCGCTTCAACCCGGAAATTGAACTATAGCTTAGGATCTTTCCTATCCAAAGAAGAGAAATTCATAATTTCGAATATGCAACTACTGACCCTGCATTGCAGTAGGTAATCCTTTCATCAAAAGTACGCATTAGGTGAAGGGAAGAAACCCCCCAGAGTAACCTGGGTCGAACGGTCATGTATGTGCTGATTTCTTGCATGGGGTAAATGCAAGATGGAGATATGTTTGTGCATACCATCTGGGCCTTCTTGTGAGTATTAGAAGTCTTCTTATTTGTTTCTCCCTTTCCTACTTCCGTATATTTGCCGAGAGCACAGCACCACGCCAGCCATTGCAAAATGCTGGCTATACTGCCGGAACTTTTACTATCCCAGTGTTCATGGCTAGAAGGATATATCAGAGCCATTTTTTTTCTTTTCTATAAATGATTGGTGGATCCCACCCTCGTAAGTCGAGGTGTACTATAGTATCTATCCCGACTGATTGCATTCTATCAATGTAATTGGCTATACGCACACTAGGTAACTTTCGCACGTACGTCGCAAATGGTCCAAAGTACAATCTATCCACACATATTCATTCCACTGTAATAAACATAGAAAGAGCTCATCTTAGCTTCACCCATAGGCTACTAGACTCCAGCACCACGGTGAGGTGTGAGCTTATTGCTGGAGACCTGATCGAGTCGACCAGGCACCCCGCATCCGCTTGAGGCCTATGCAACATAGGCCCAAGTTTCTGCTGGGATTTTAGGGAGAGGGGGGGGGAGAGGAGGGTGGGGTGGAGGAGGGGGAGTCGGCCCAGCGGGGAGGGGTACCGTCTTGAGTATCAAGACGGTTCAGCAAATTCCCCAGCGCGTCAACCTGGGGGCAGGAGGTACCCTCAGATTGATTCTCGCAGGCTGGGGAGGTCGCCCTCTCGGCATGGCCCATGTCATCCTGCGCATCAGTCTCAAGAGACTCATGTTCGCGGGATGGCTCGATCGCGAGCATCTCGACATCTTCGATGGCGAGCTGGTCGTTTTCGGCCGGGGCTTGCCGCTCGCCACGAGGACGAGTCCTCCACTCCTGCCGCCTATCACGCGAGCGCCGCCAGCGGTGGTTATTCTCTCGCCTAGCGGCCCTAGCCCGGTTGCCTGCTGGGGCGTTTCCGCCCTCGGCGGCCACGGGCGCAGGGCGCAGGTTTGAGCCTCCAGGGGCTAGCGCATTAGCACCACCCCTGGCAGCACGAGCACGAAGACGTCTCATGCGGCGTCGCTGGGTAGGCGTCTGGGCAGCAGGGGAAGGACGAGGTGGCCGAGTTCCTCCGGGGCCAACATTGGGAGGGGGGGGAGGATGGAAGCCCGCGACGGCATTGCCCTGCTTTTTCCAAGGTCTCAGCATAAGCCTCATTTAGATGCTTGATTTTGTTTTATGATTTTTCTTACCTGAACTCTGTTCGCATGGAACGCCTCGACAGAGAACTGTGCGCAGAACATAGCCAGAGGGCAAGGCTCTCCCGGATGATGCAAACCACATCCGAGCTTGCAGGCCTCCGAGTCCACCGGGACGGTCTAATGATACTCAGCAGCGTTCAATGAAGGTGGTCTTATATTCAGCACTTACAACGCGGTCAGCGGGGGGCTTCTTGCCATCTCGGCCACGCCGACCACCGCGGTTTGGGTCTTCACCCGCTCCAGCAGCAGCAACGACGGCCGGGCCGCCAGCCCACACACTTGCTGCCAGTCCAGACATGGCAGAATAGGATCGTTCGGGGAAAGGGGGGGCAATCTCGAAGAATTATTGACGAGGAAAAGCAAAACAACCTGAGGACTTCACAAGGCGATGCCGTAAAATGGAAGCAGGTTATGGTGGGAAGAGGAAAGGGAAGAGAAGCGACGGAAACGAAAATGAAACACGAAAAGCGCAAAGGCCTTGGGGCTTGCAACTGAATCAAACAAACAGAGAAGATTTTCATAACACGAAAGGAGAAGTAGTGAATGTATCTATGTAGTTTCGGGAGTTCTTGTTGATCTTGTCCTGCTCGGTTTTGACCTCTTCTTACGAGCCATAGTTGCATCCAGCATCTCGTTTGGCTGATTCGAATCTATTTTCTCTCGATAAATCCAGATCACGTTATCAAAATGGCAAATGATAACTTGCCTACCAACAATATAGAGTGGGATCATCTCGCCAGGAAGTATAAGGTGGAGAAGCAATCCTTACGAATGAACCTGAAGTTGCATTCCGCGTCGAAGGTCAGCTACAAGCAGTACCTCCTTTTCAGAACCATCCTCCCCGCCATTGTCCCCAAGATTCGGTTTGATCCCCAGCCTCTTGGGATTCCACACCTAATGCCAATAGCCGACCAGATCCTGAACCGTCCAAAGTTCGTTGACTATCTCGCGAACATCCCCGCCTATTGGACGCAGCCGAATGCAACATGGGCAGGTGAAGACTTGTTCAGGACTGCGGCTACTTGGCAAGGACATGTGAATTACGAACAGAAGAAGGATACGCGCTTTGAGGGTTCTAAAGAAGCCAGTGTCAACGCCGCCTTCCTCTCCTTCTTAACCGCTATTGCGGCGCTTCTCGATCAGCCTATTAGGCGCCAGTGGTCGACTGGCAGAAGGAAGTTGACGGCAGACTTTGGCACCCCGCAGCGTAAGCGGCAATACGTTGCTTATACTGATGGCCAATTGGAGGAGGTCTCCAGTCATCGGATTTTGGCACTCGTCGAGTGTAAATCTGGGCCGCGGGGACGACATGCTCCGGGTGTTGATATGCAAGAGGTAGCACAGCTGGTGGCATGGGTGAAGCAACACCCCGCTGGGCCAGGGGCTAATAGACGAGTACTCCTGTCTAAAGATGGCCTTGAGCTTTATATCTCTGTTTTTCAGTACGGGCCGGGATGGCTACGCTATCTCAATGGAGGACCCGGTAGTATTAAGCATGCTGGATTTGCCTACATGCAAAGATACGGCCCCTGGAACATGACGAACAAGGCTGATTTGAGGGAGTTTGCTCTGATTGTTATCGCCTTGCTATTGCTATAGCTTCTCAAAAGACCCATGTTTGTCCCATCGCGTGGGGATTTCTGAGGCACACCCCTCTTACACTTCAGAAAGCCCGCTGATAATTTGCCCGGGCGCCTGTGTCGAACCACGATCAGGTCTCTTTCGCCCGTTGGTTGACTATCCGGGCGCCTGTGTCGAACCACGATCAGGTCTCCTTAAAGAATCCGTTGATATTTTACCCGGGCGCCTGTGTCGAACCACGATCAGGTCTCTTTCGCCCGTTGGTTTATTATCCGGTGCCTGTGTCGAACCACGATCAGGTCTCCAGCAAAGAGCTCGCACCTCACCGCGGTGTTGGAGTCTAGTAGCCTATGGCGAAGCTAAGACGAGCTCCTTTAAGTACAGTAGAATATATGCGTTTGGCTCGTATTCATACACACTAAATATCTGTTGGATAATGGTTAACATCTGGCTTATAATACGAAAATGCATTTCGCCTTTGCATAAACTCATTCTTCGCCCTCATTAGCTATTATAGTGAAGCTCTACATCACAAGAACAGTACAAGCTCAACCACTCTCAATTCTGGCATTGCTCACTTTCCAGGGTCGCTAAAGGAAGATTACGATAATTTCCGTTCTTGAGACCTTGATCAATTTATCGTAGCCTTGCTTTCTGTTTGTTTTCTCTTCACCTTCACCTCGCACCTCTATCACCGCAACTGACTATCAACGACAAAGTTTCCCCAATCTATTCCTATGGCTCACAGTAATCCCTCTTTTCTCGGATTCTTTTCACTGTAAAAAAAAGAGATGGCATATAAGCAAGTGATATCGCTGTACCTGAATGTTACCAAAGGAGAGAATAAAACCTTCACATTGCCTTACGCCCTTACTCTCTAAGAACCGGTTCAGAAGAAGATGTCTTGGCAAAGTTTTTTTCTTTCTTCTTGGGGGAGGGCAAGCGAGCTTTGAGGATTTTGCTTGGGTGCGGATTACTGCTTCAACATCAGATGTCTATACGTACAACCAGCCACTAGTTTCCACATGATGTATGGCTCCCATTGAGTGAGCCGAGAAGATCGTACACGTACAGGCATGCGATAGCTAGCTATCTCTACCACATGTATAGCAGTATGGTATAGAGCGTCACCGGAAGGTTCTATTTGTTCTGTAAGAAGTTCTTGACATCATAGAGACTACAGTTGCGAGTCACTTTACTTGGAGGCATCCAGCCCAGGGTCTGCAAAAAAAACTCGGCTTGTATATATCTGCCTGTTTCCATCAAGACGACACTCGTTTGGACCAAGGCGCTGGGAATCCTTGGTGCCAGGCAGGGTGCACCCCTTACACGGCTGCTCCACGTATTCATGCGGCTGCCTTAGGGTAAATGAGAAGTAGCTACAGATAGCTATTTATTTCGTGCTAGTTGCCTGATTGTCGTTATCACCATCTAATATCGTAGACTCTGACAGCGGCAAATACCCAGACTATCTCCGGCTCAGGTCGATCAGAAATCTTGCTTATTTTTGACTGTTACTATACATATATCGGAGCTGAGGCGCCCTTAACAATTCCATATACGTTAGTCAAAATAATAGCAGTGACAAACACACAGATATACATGACAGGAATCATATCCTATTGTAATGATTACCGCTAACCTCATAAATAGAATCAGTCACGGAAATCAGAGCAGACATCAATATATGGAACTCTCTGATACCTTCTAAAATTCTTGAGTCACATGAGAACAAGTTACAACCTGTCGATGCTTCACTGGTTAATATTACCCAGCCCTATCACTCCTTAATATATACCATTTACCTAGGCAGTCAATTAGGCACCAAAGTACACAGCCCTTTCTAGAGTTCGTGTCTTGGAAAATCTAATCACAGAGAACCTAAGTACATGTATGAACTTCTCCATTTAGGTCTCTATATATGATATTTTCTACCACAGTCAATCTACTTGGTTATATATTTCGCCCCCCTGGTATACAAAACTGCACAAAGTACCGGGAAATTAATTGAAGGCGACCTTTGTCTGTTATTATAGAAAGGGGACTTTTGAAGCAACAGCGCATCTAACGACCTCACCTAGAGGCTGAATCAAAGCTCCAGGGTCCAGTGTCTCAGCTTGGGTCTCTGACAAGTCAGCCTAGAAACGGTGTAATTAATTCTTTTTGGCAGATCGGAAAGAAGACATAAGGCTTGCTTTTTCTGGAATGATTATTCCCCTGCAATACATCAGCAACAATCTTGAAATTGTGGATTATCTCTAGACCCCGAATTACATGGTTGGAGGCAGCAGATGAAGACTCGGCTATGGCTTTTTACTAGACAAGGGCCTTCTGGTTAGCCTCCTGCCGGTGTAATCCCCGTTTTCTGGAGGATGGGTAACTTTTGGATGCCCATAGTCAGATTGGGGGATCATCAGAAAGAGGTGCAGGGGGTTGCTATGGGACTTCCTTTCTGTAAAGATTACTTCTACGTAGTAATTACCAGACGGTTATCATCAACCGGCGGAGCCCGTTGTTTCATGTTTTATCCAGCACGGCTGCTTTGATTTTCGTCTCCAGAACAACCCTCGCACTGCTAGCGCCGTTGCCTATCTCTCCAACCATGCAGTTTATCTTCTTTCCGGCAGGGTACTGGCTCAAAAAGTCTATCAAGGTTTCCTCACCTCCCTCAGCTTGGAGACTCACCAAATAAAAAGAAGAAAAAGAAAAAGAAAAAAAAAAGTTGTGGAGACAGCCAGAGTCAGTGACTGATATAGAAAATCTGGACAGTTAGTCTCACGCTCATACTGAGTTTAGGTATTAAAATACGAGTGACCCTCACAAGCAAGCTCTGATATTTCTCTAACTCTAAGATTTTACAGAAGAATCCAGGCCCTGTTCTTTTCCCCGCGTCGAAGAGAAGTGACTGATAACAAGTCAAACGGTCTTGCAGATCTAGTCAGAGCTTATCAGTGCCTAAGTGTCTATAGCTGACTTCACAACACAACTCATCGGCTCCTCTCATACCCGCAAAGATAATAAGTCTCTCGCTCCAGGCGGATCTCTCCCATATGTCATGTTCACCTCAGTCCAGGGCGACGCATCAGGAACAGGAATGTTGGGGTTCGACTTTAGGGGCCGATGTAGTCAACCAAATACATCTGTTGGTGGGTTTTATTCCGACTGCACGGCTCGCTTTCTTCAAGTTTACAGAAGCAATCCGTTGCTCCCATATTATGCACATTTCGCAGCTTATAACCTTGAGAATCTCGGATGTTGGTTGAAGCTTCTGCGCGCTACTAAGCGACTATCCCAATTTTGCGTTCAGCATACTTCACTAGGTAGGCCCGCGAAGGAGGAGCCTAAGAGAGATCATAGCTTAGATGAGGGTAATACTTGAGTATAAATTACCCCTAGCATCTCTCATTTGTGATATGTACGGGGCATCTTTTTATGGGGGAAGCTGTGAAAAGTCGTATCTTTAAACGGATCGATTAGTCTTTGTGAACCACCCTCTAAAACGATTCGGAAAGTCACCTACATGTATGAATCAAACCCAACATTGTTCACCAACGATAAGACACTTTATTATACCTTTATTATACCATCAAATTCCTCATGGTATTTTCACTCTGATGTCGACCTAAAGCAAAGCAAGTCCTGCAACATTCTGAAGACGACCAGCAGCGCTGCCGAAAACTGCCCATTTTGGCTAGGATATTCTGAGCAATTAGTGCAGAGGATCGAGTTAGCCGCGATTCGCCATCAGTTCGAGATGGCGTCCATTCTAGTTGTCTCTCTTAAAATGATTTCTATCCCGAAAGCATTATTGTCGGGACAGACCTCTTCGTCTGCTTTTCAACTAAGACGCGATATATTGCTTTCGGTCTCCTGCTAGCGCATTGGCAGTACATGCATTCTGACACTACCGTCCGATTCTGACGAGAAGTAAGCTATGCGCCTTCGGTGTTTCTATCAGGTGGAGTAGCCTAAGTCACTGAGCTGGACCGCCGCACGCAGAAACTGTGAGTTTCACCATGTATTCTCGCAACTCATTCCTTCTTATCCCAAAGAAGCAGACTATTGATAGTTCCAAACCTATCGAAACATTTTCATGTGATTTTTATATCCGGGGGGTCAGCTGGGGCCTAGTTTTGCCTCCCATTGAACCGCAAGGAACGGATCACACTGATAATGAATAATACTTTAGCTTCTTATCTACAGTCCTTTTTTCGTTTGCTCTGAGTTAGAGTAACTAACTATTTGAAATGAATGAGTAGTTGTTTGAAATTATTTGCGCTTATCATCGGGGCTTCATCTTGTTTCAGGCGTGGGAGCGACATTTGCTCAAACACAGTCGTTTAAGCCTCCACCACAGGGTGTGCGAACAGCCAAGACATGAATAGATCGAGCGGAGCATCCCGCTCTTTCTCGAAGCTATAAAGCTTCGACACGTGAATGATCAGAGCATGTGTATACATGGAGGCACAAAGCAGTCGTGCATGCTGTGGCCCCACAAATGAAACAAGTAGAACTGGAAACTCCTGTTCATCTGGGAAGGCTGGACTCTTCTGGGAAAGATCTTCAAGCTCTTGCTCATTTATATCAGAAAGACCTTCTATCATCTCTTCACTTTCCACTTTGAACTCCTTGACGCGACTACGCATGATATTGAGGATGGTAGCGAGCTCACCACCCAAAATCGAACCATCTCTGGCATTCATTGGCTGGTAAGCCACTGCAGCAATATGGGGAAGTGGTGGAGTATCGCGAATCTGAGGCTCAAGGAAAAGACGGATGCCCCAGCAGCGTCCTGTAGATGGACACGGTCCAATCTGTGTAGCGTAACTCATGGAAGGATTCGGTGGCCTAAATATTGGCAAGAGTAATCCAGCTGGAATATACGGTACTCACGTCATTTTGCGTACTTCGCAGAAATCCATCAGTGATGAGTACGGACGGTGGAAGACTCGATTGGCAGTGGCATATTGGGTAAAAAAAAGAGCAGCCTCATAGGAAGAGTTCTCTTCGTCGGTCACCAACCACCCTTTTTTCCGAGCCTTGTCTCTGTCGGCCAGTGGGATGTACTCGGGGAATGGAAGATGAGAGGTAGTGGGGTGGGCTTGTAGAAATGACTGAGAACGCGGGACGAACGGTAGAGATGACGAATATTCAGAGCTTGACTCAAGATCCCAAGAAGATATAGATATGTTATGTTCTTGCAGAAAAAGCGGCATGACGTCCCCTTGTGAGCCAGGCGAATTAGAGACGAAGGGTGTGCTATGCTCTCCTCCGACCACTTCAAGGTACAGCGACCTCAATATCTTCCGAGCTTTAGTCTCCGTCATCGTAGATGATAGTCGGGAAAATAGATCTGATCCAGATTTAGGAAAGTAGGTAGGTGATTAGTTGACCCTGGTGCCCGCGGATGATAGTAGAGTGTTTGGGAGGAGGGTGGGGGGGGGGAGGGCAGCGGTTTGAGAAAAAGGAACAGAAGCAAGGCCACAATCATGTGACAGGGTATTCACTGACAAACCTCACCAATTCTGACCTCAACTTGAGTGATTTTCATAAGTAACAGATAGCTCATGCTGTGGATTGGTGTCTTTCTAGTATTATGACGATAACAGTATCTTGAATCCACTGCATCGTGACAATCGCTGCGCGGCTAGGGTTGCCACTATATATATCCGGCAACCATACCAGCAGGTTCTGATAGTACTAGTCACGTACGAGATACTCGGGTGATTAAAGAAACAACTAGATCATGAATACGGGATGTAGATACACTCTAGGTTATAGTCATATTATATGAACGCAAGCGACCAACGTACATTGTAGATGGGTGGTGGTATGCTGCCTCGTTGAGCGTAATAATCGAGTCATTTGAGTATTTGTCAAGAACATAAAGCAAAATAAAGCTCCAGCAAATAAGAAGTCCTCGATGGTCTAACGGTCATGATTTCCGCTTGTCAATCCCTTTCGGGAACAAGCGCGGGAGACCTGGGTTCGACTCCCAGTCGGGGAGATTTCTTTTTGCATTTTCCATACCTATCTATCACTTACTACATACACTATACTTTTTGTTGGCCCGACATGAACGTAACACAGGCAATTTATTTGTCAATTCAGTTTTTTCCGCTCCATTGTGAATGAGAATGCACGGCGCACTTCCTCTAGCTCATCCAGTATCAATACCATAAAAAAGTCTCGGCCAGCTGGCACATCTTCAGCTCACTTCGTGTTCTTTTATCATGAGCCGTGTCCCATGCAACCCGCGTGGGTAAAACTTTCTAGAATTTGGCGGGCATAGACCTGCATTCTGGTGATTACTTTTCGACACAATAGCGATTCATGAGTTTGCGTCAAATTTGCCTCTGGATAGGCCATTCTGAAAGCGCGGGTGACGAAGTAGGGGATGCTATGCTTCGCTGATCAGAAGCGAATCGCTCACCTATCATGCTCTGATCATCAATCGCTGCTAATACTCTGCCATTTTGTCTGACAACTAAAAGCCGGGCTTTTAAGGAACCATTTGAGTCGCATCCCATAACTGAAACGATGCAGGTACTCATTACCCTAACCAGTCTGGATCACTACTCTGCACGTCTTTGCTATTAGATTGGCATCACTAAATCCACCAAAAAAGATCAACAATGCGACCAAATCACTAAGGCCTGCTAAAGATAGGGCGACTGATTGACGCAGAATCAAAACAGTGATCACGACTGGAGAATCCGCCGAGCTGCCTCCATATCTTCCTCCGAAGGCATATTGACAATCATGAGATAAATAATGTTCTGCCATCATGTTAGCATTTGCAAGTCATCGAGAAAGGTGATATACCTACCTCTTTCAGAAGCTTTTTGATTCCTCCAATGGGACTTCCTAGAGGACCTGTCTGGCGAAGGTCTCTGATTCCCCGTCCACGACCAGGAACGCTTTGGCCGCCATACGAAGTATGAGTCGGTGAATGCTGATAACTCTCTTCGCGGTGCATCTCATCCTGCCCTTGCGGATCTTCCATCGGTAATCGTCCAAGCCTAGCTGCACGAATACCAGCCGCCAGCCCGCCAAGGGACAAAGGTGGCGATTCAATTGACTGCCTGCCGAGACCTCTTCTTCTATCGGTTCCATTTCCGCCACCTCGAAGTTGCACTAATCTCTCACCAGTCATATGTCCACCCGTAAGTAGACCGACCAAGGAGCCGCTGCTGGCAGGATGGCTAGGGTCGGCATAACGTGATGTGAACGTTGGCTTGTGACCCTGACTCAAAGCACTATCGGGATTCTTCATCATCTAAAACCCCCAGGTCAGTTCCACTATCCACTAGTATGTGGTCCCGATGACATACAAATTTGGCCTGTGACCTCCGGTCCCAGTAATCTGAGACAAACTCCTTTCTTCGCTTCGTACCCTTCAGTTTCGACTGATTGTCTCCTCGATGTTCTGCTAACTCATCCAGGTCGGGAAAGATAAGAGGGGCACACTCCGAGAAAGGCAAAACGCCGTGCGTCTTAGCATCCGATGACTTGAGTCTATGCCGAACCTTGTTCATCAACCCTGCTCCACCATGCTCTATAGCCGCAGAAATCGTGGAGTTCATATCGAAGGTAGCGTAAGGCGAGTCGGACCCGGGCTTCCATGTCATAACCAAACAGAATAGCCCACGAGGGCGGAAGAACTCATCATTGATCTTGTCAAAGAATTTGTTCGTCCTATATACTATGCATCAGCATCACACAAAATAACACCACACCCTACCACACAAGCCTTACCTTCTCCTTCCATCAACAGCCATAGCCACATCAGTCGCCAACTGTATCAGAATCGAAACAGCTATCGAAATAGGCTCAGGAATGAACATAGTCCCAATAGAAGCCAAATTAATAGCTTGCAACCACGGAGTCGCCTGACACGCTCGGTTCGACGTCTCCAAAAAGTCAAGAAACATAGTCTTGTCAACACCAAAGCCCTCCAGAGCAGGAGCATAGGCTCGAATAAAGCCTCGCTTGCGAGACTTCGGCCTTCGCTGAGGCAGCACCACAGGACAAGACAGTCTGGGCAAATCCGATGTGGGGGCGTACGGAGGTGGAGCGGGATAATTCTGAAGAAACGAGACTGCTAAACCCTCGATATCACCACCGGCAGGCTCGGACTCGGCACAGTGCTCATCCCCAGCTAATTCATCTTGCGCCTCGTCGAGAACCCATTCCTCTTCATGTTGTTCGTTGATGAGATGCTCGACTTCGTCGGCATCCCCCGTAGTCGCTTCTCTGACAGTATTATCTGTGTCTGATGCGTTCGCCTTCTTTTCTTCTCTACTTGCCTTATAGGCTGATATGCTCTCCGAGGCTAGACCTATGCCGGATGCGATACCCTTGACGAGGTTGGCTCTGAGATCCATAACTTTTGGGGAAGCGTTGTCGCTGACGGTGTCTAGGAACAATGCCACGAGGTTGTAGGGCGTGAGATGTGGGAAATAAGTGGTATATGGAGTGAGAAAGCGCCCATCAGGACAAACGAACTCTTGGAGGAATTCTTTCTCTCTTACTATACACCTAAGCTGGATGTTTCGGCCAGGTCCGACAACACTTGCCCCGATTAGGCATCCAGCGCGACGGGAGGGTCAGATTACGAGGCTGTGCTGCAGCCACACTAGGCATCAGCCATTACATTTGTTGTAAGGTGAGGGCTCTATGCTGAAGGGATCATGTCTATTGGGTAAAATGTATCAATCGGGGTGTGTGACTGTGCTAGGAGAATATAAACCTGATAATTGGAGCAAAATATTATCCACGTGAGGGCTGTGCCACAAGGACGATTCGTATCGGCAAGCAGCTCCATTTCGACTCTGTTAATAAGGCAGCAATATAAGTGCCAAGGTTGGAATCCAGTAACGAATATTCTCAGGGGATATACTCCAGAGCTTGTCGGCTCTTGGCAATTGCTTAGCCCTGGATGCCACATGGCTTGCCGATGAGTGTTTCGCATCAGTTTCCTTTTCGGGATCTCAATATCATGCAATGGTCACTATCCCATTCCACTAATTAACACCAAGCACTCAAATGCAAGCTCACATGGTGTGTCATCCAACCTAACGCCGTCCCAATTCTCAATCTTATCCAATATAACGCGAAAACCTGACAAAAATGATTATAAGATTCAGTTGGACACATCTAGGATCTATGTACCCAGTTCTCTCCACCAAACGCCTGAAAATGAATCATCCACACATTAACTGAGACCGGCTCTCAGACTCGGATATCATCCGCATTCTTGGGTCGGTATTCGGAGAAGCTCTCTGGCCAGAGGAACATCTTCTCTTCGTTGGATGGTGTGGCAGCAACAAACTTCGGAACCTGTTGTGATATTGTCAGCTTGGATAAATCGTGCATCTGCAACACTCAAATATGAACGTACAGCCTGCCTGCTAGAAATCCGCCGCCACATGTTAGCCCGGGGGTTGAATCGGGCAGGCTTGCCCACACCCTTGGTCTTCTCCTGATCCTCCTTCATGATCGCTTCTACTTCCCGCTTGACGTCGGAAAATGAGTCGAAACCAATGTAGGGGATCTTGTTCTCAATGCAGTATTCTTCCAACCGCAGGCCCTTGCGCGCAAAGAGAACATCTGCTTCGCGAGCAGCCGGGAGGTCGGACACGCCGTCACCAATGAAGATGATAAGAGGGATCTCTCCTTCCAAAGCATCTTCTGCTGCTTGCGCACGACCCTCTTTGATAGACAGCGCCTTGTCGTGACCAAGCTCTGTTTCATGCCTCCAGATCGGCTTCCACTCCGACCCGTCGGACTTGATTTCTGCATCATTGGCGACAATCTGAATGCGCGAAGCCTGAGACAAACAGTCAGCAACCACCCAACCAAACCCTAACTCTCACTGCCAAATCAAATCACCATACCTCTTGCTCTCCCAGGAAAGTGTCCAGCACTTTCTGCAAAACAGGCTTCAACCCAGCACTGATAACATTGAACTCAATCCCCTTTTCGATACAGAACTTGTGAAATTCCTGGAACCCAGGATCAATATCCAGTTCCTCCTGCATCACATCGAAGCCGTCCTCGAAGGGGATCCGTAGCGAACCCCACATTTCCTCGGAGACTTCGCGGAACGAGCGCTCGCCGGATTTGATTTGCTCGTCGAGCTTCTGGCGGCGCTTGGCGCCACATCCTAGGTTATCGAAGAGGACATGGCCTGTGTCTTGCATGAATATCGTTCCATCGAAGTCTGTCCGATAGTTCGCGGATTAGCGGCATGGTCCAAGTGGAGATATACTGATGCACGGCACAAGAAAGCAAGCATTACAAGCAAATGTACAGGGGTTACTGTTCTTTTACATACCTGAGAAGCAGACAATCTTCCTCGTTGTGGTACCGTTGGACGACATATCTAAGACAGATATTTCTTTACTGGATGGGTTGAGAAACCGGTGAAACAGAAGTAATAATAATGCTGATAATGATGATGTATAGATGGCGACAGCCCAGACTAACGATATGAGGATATGCCCCTGGTGAAATAGCTTCGGGGAGGATAAAAAAAAGAAGAAAAGAGGAGAACTTGTGGCGACGAGAAACCGGACCTTTCCAATGACGTACCTTGGCTGTGAAGAAACCGGCAATGATGCGACCACTGCCGACTGAATTGACTGACTAACGGTAGTCTAGCCCCAGTGGATCCAGAATTCCCCGGGGGGTAAGTTGTTGTTGTTCCATCTGGTGGGACCAACAGGGGACCGAATAATGGTGCAGCATGAAGGAACTGTGGCTAATATTGGATCCGATCGGCAAGCCGAGGGGACACTAAACAAAGTAAGTAAAGTTAGGGATTGGATTGGCTTTTGGGGGCTTCGCTCTGAATCTTCCATAAACGTCATCGCCTCTTTGGTGACATAACCAACTGTTCTGATCTACTACCCTTTCATCCGGTTACGGAAGGTATCGCGGGCCAACTTGCTCCCACATCCACCAGCCACACATACTGGACTGATTGAGCATTGAATACTTTGCATATGCTTTAACAACTCTTGACATCTTCGCATTAAGCATGCCTTCGGTTTTCAAGATACTCATGTGTACATATGGTATGCTCGGTTCCGAAGAGCCACCCGCCACAACTATCTTGCCGAGGAGTGGTTCCGCAAATCCGGATGAAGCCGCTCGGTTAGCGCTGGGTTATGACAACATTCCTTCTCCACCAGGTCAACTTTACGCCCAACCAGAGGCCGTGCCATTCCTAGATATCATCAGTGCCTACATACTCTGAGTAGGACTCTCCACGATCCTTACAATAAAATCGAGAAAGTTATCATTATGGTATTTGTAGCTTGACTTATCTCATCATATTTGCATGCATACATTATAGGTTGGTCAAGTCCCCCTCTTAGGATATGAGACGGCCATTATCGCATTCTATGTATCCAAATGACTATCAACAGCATCTCGATAGGTAGAGTCTAGCAGGTACCGGAAAGAAGCAAAACTAGTTAAACGGAAGGTCTTCAAAAGCCACCCGAGACCCCAGAAAACACATGGGTCGATGAGTGCGAATCCAGGATCATGCACCATGATTGTTCCATCGACTCTTTGCACGAATTCTCTTGCCAAATGCAAAGAAGAGAAATGGAACGGGGATCAAGACCGCCGCAACGCACCCAAATACCGTGATGCCCCAACTCACTCCGATGCCCTGGAACATCGGCTGCACAAATAGAGGGAATACACCTGCTAGGATGGATCGAAGAAGAGTAGTGGCCGCAACTGCGCTCGCGCTGACGCGCAAGAATGTGTCAACCAAATAATTGATTGAAGTCTGAAAGATGGTGGTAAACCCAAAGCCCGTTAATGCGATGCCAATGAGTGATGGCCAATAGTTGATGTGAGGCGATGAGGTCCCTACATCTAGTCAGTGTGGCACAGCAAATCGTATCGGGGAGTTAGGGACTGACAGGCGAAAAGAAATAACCCCCCCGTGAAGGCAACCCCTCCAACCATCATTGGAGGCAATCGTGCTTCGGGCACAGGTTTGCCATTATTCTCGCGAAGCTTTCTAAAGTAGTATCGGTTGTTATAGACGTTGGCTAGAGCTGCGGCAAAGATTCCCACAAGGAGGGCGACAAAGGGAAGACCTCCGGTAACATGGTTCCAGCCGCGCTTGTCCTGGAATTCAATGGGGAAGCTTTCGAGGTTTAAATATAAAATCGCTGTTGAGAGAGTGAGTGACCGCATCCTCAACCCTTGCCAAAAATGAGTACCAACCGTAAACGAAAGACCCATAGATCGACATGAACAGCCCAATTGGGGTGTTCAGTATCCGGAAAGGACGGATCAAATATTTCTGCGACATTTCGGAAATAGATACGTCCCATTCTTCGTGCTATTGTTTAGTTAGAATGAAACCAACTTGAAGAAGCAACAACTCTCTCAGCATCTGCGCTTGCTCACCTTCGTGTGCAGAGCCCAGTTCTTGCCTTCCAACCGCAGCCGGCGTGCTTTTCGGACCAACAATGCGGGTGCATAGCTCTCATCAAGAATCAAGAAGTCCAGCACAGATTGCACTACCATCAATATCCCCGTCAGGTATTCCGTCCAGCGCCAACCTAGGCTACTATGAGACACGAAGGCCCCTCCAATGATGGGGCCAAGGCAAGGTCCGCCAACGAGAGTGACCGAGTAAACGACGATGGCCACACCGCGATGTTCTGGCCTCCAGATATCCGCCATTGCACCACCGGTTATCGCCACGCTAGAGCTTCCGAAGAATCCAGAGAAAAAGCGGGTGATCATTAAGGTCTGGATATCCTTTGCTGTTGCCGTTCCGAAAGAGAAAATCCCTGCTATGAAATAAGGCTGTATCACAAGTCAGCTCGAATGACTGAACTTGGTGACTTGACGTCAAACTGACGGTCGCATAACAGGACACGTACTAAGATTGTGACCGTTTTACGACCATAAACCTCGCTCAGAGGTGCCCACAGTAACGGTCCGAGCCCGAGGCCAAAGACCAGCAAGCTGATTCCTAATGTGGATACTTCTTTCGAAACGCCAAACTCGTGCGCGATCGGCAGCATCCCCGCCGAATAGATCGCCGACGCAAAGGTGATCCAGCATGTAGTCATTCCATATAGGATCGTCGTGATGGCCTTCTTCCGAAAAGGCCAATTGATGGAACGGTAGGGATCATCTTGGCCATTGAAGTCGACCAGAACATCAGGGGTTGTTGCCTCGTAGAGTAGGGGATGAGCCAAAACCGCTTCGCTTTTGGTACGCTCTTGGTGGTCGAGAGCCATGGTTGATGTTAGCCCCCAGTTTGGGATGAAACGATAGCAAGCAAATAGCGCTACCACGCCTCAGCTGGGGGAATCCCTCCATTTAACAAGCGTCCATGCAGAGGGGGTCCCCGGACAGACTGGTCTTATGCGCAACCGATGGCCGGAACGGAAGGCTCATGCAGTTTGGTCCGGGGTCGCATAGGCTTATCCGAACACCGTCTGCCTCAGTCATCGTCCGTATGATCCCAATGACATCGGGCTTAGATGCCATGGCTAATTGATCTCCTCCACTCGGTCGCACTCATGACGACCAGAATGAAGATGTTGAAAGCCCGCTCTGTGCACTCTCCTCCAAACTATATCGAGTTGCTTTTGTCCTTGCTTCTTCCTGCCAATCTTTTTGCACACTCGTACCTACGAAAATGGTAAGGGATTAACAAGGCTAAAATCGTCGTACAATTGTCGCTGGGATAGCCTCTAGGGATCGTGTACGTGATGGTCTTATGATGTGAGACCTGCAGTATGCCGAAGAAAGGGAAATTGTGTCCCCTGCTTCACCTTATGTCTGATTGCCTGGTGATTTTCTCGCCCACTCCGGAACCAGCCATTCAGGAATATGTGAGTCATCAAGAAGAGGAAGCATTGGTCCGAAATTGTCGCACGGTTCATGAGCGGAGCCTTCGACGAGCGGAACGCCCGGGGACAGCTCTTCAAAGGGATCTAAATTCCCCGTCAAGAAATCACTAGGAAGGTTCCCTACTACATTGCAGGTTGGGTCGACAGGTGTAGGCACATATGTCGAGTTCGTATCCCAGCACAACTCAGAGCCTAGGACCCCTTGCATATCATCTCGATTGGTCGGTGCTCGCTGTCTCCCTCTGCCAGCAGGGTCAAGCTCCTGCATCTCTCGTATGTACTGTGCCTTGGCCATCAGTCGTCTGATAGGCCGCCATAAGGTACCCTTTCTCCCGCTTTCCTTCATCTTCCAATTGTTATAAACGGTGTTGACGTACTCCCAGGCGCGGTCACAGTCTGCCGAAGGGGGCCGAGTGCAGATCTCAGAGAGCACCAAGGCAACGGCATGCCACTGAATGTGCGTCTTTGAGTGCCAACTCCAGTGGGCAATTTTTTTGTTTGTGAGAACCAAGCTGGATAGCTTCAATACCTCAATAGATGACAAGAAGAGTTGATCGCGCACAGGGTCCGATAGGTTGTCACCATGTTCCTTCTCATTTAAAGGGTATCGTGCAACTAGCCACGCACGTGCAACCATTAGACGGGCTACGAATGTTGAAGCCAAACCAAAAGGCTGTGAGATATCACAATGCTGTAAATATCGCTCTTCAAGGCGATCGTGTAGGTTCTGCACTAATGCTTCACGTTCTTTCAAAGACGGTCTGCCGATCTCATTTCTCGGGCCTCCCAAACCTGGAACCACACAGCTAAGCTTCCACATTGTCTGCATAACCTCACACCTGATAAGACAGAAATACATGCCGGTTACACCGGCCCTCTCAATGGGTAGCTCGCTCATGTCGGCATTCAGGTCAGCATCTTCAACATTAAGCGGTAGCTTCGTGTCAAAGGCCGAGTCCCGCACAATTGGCTCGCAGCCATGGTACTCTGATGAGCGAGCATCTAGAAGACAAATGTGCCACCACAGTCGCCGGCGTAGCTCTGTCTCCATAGGCTTGAGCCCAAACACGACGCCATCGCGGTGGAGACCCATAGCTTGTGCGATGTGAAGGATGAGTGCTGTGAGCGACCATACGGTCCGGGAATCATCTTCGTTGCGTAGCGCGAAAAGGAACAGCACAGCGGCTTGCAATAGCGTGACGCTTTGCGTATTTAGCAAGTCAGCACGGGCCAATGCCTGTTCTATGGCGAACAAATAGGTTTCTAAAGCATGTGCCTTGGGGACGCCAATAGTTCTAAGGCACTGCTCGGGCTCCATGCTTATTACTGCAGAGTAATATATGGCGAATAAAAGTGCTTCGGTATCCTTATCGAGCGATTCGAGAGACGCAACCGCATCCCAATAGTTGCGAACTAACGTGGGCATGTGGAAAACACGCACCATCGGAGAAACTTTCTCCTGAAACACCCCGAAAAGGGTTACCGACTCAGTCAAGGGTGGATGATAGGAATGAAGCGAATGAGCCAGAGCCCGAAATCCTAATATTGCAGCATTGGAACCCGTGGGCAAG